CCTACCCCTGTGGAGACATTTTTTTTTATTCCATCGTTCATTTTGAGGGAGGGTTAGTGAGGGTGAAAAAAAAAGGTCGAAATTTATAGGTACAGAATTTCTAAATTAGGGGTTAGACAGATGCGTCAAGATAGAGGGTGGGTGGAAGGGTGAAACTGGGACTGAGAAAGGGGTGCGTTTATAAACATGGTGTTTGTAGGCATGGTTAGGGGTGAAGTGAAGGGATGAAAATGGGATGAATGCTTGCAGGAAATCGCGAAAAATGTAATAATTGTGTTCACGGGCCGGTAATTGGGTCTCGCGAGTGAGAAGTGGATGTGTAAATTGTGGGGAGTGTTTTTATTCCGCAGTGATTGAGCCGCCATATTTTTCCCCAAACGATCATTGGAGAATTGATCTTGGTGAAATCTAGGGGGTATCTTTGAACGTAATTTACACGTTCATTCCTCAATTTCCCACCCCTAAGACCTAATTACCGGCCCGGCAAAAATAATTATCTGTCGATTGACCCTACAATTATATTTTTTGAGGGCCTACAGGGGCTGGCATTTCGTTACCCGTAAAACGCGTTTTTTCTAGGGAATTTCCTAGGGACATTAATAAAGGATCAGTGGTACTGTTCTGTATACGACATTTTTCTTGGAGAGTATACATATACAGCGCCGTCCATCTGAATTCACTTCAAGACAAAATTTTTCAAAATCTGTAATGCCTGAAAAGTTCAGAATCTGACTGACTTAGCCGTAATAATAACCAGGCAATTTCACAAGAAAGTGTTGTGTTTAAACATTCCAAGGTTTTTTTATAAAATTTTAGGAGTAATCTTTTAACAGTATAACTTTCTAACAGATTAATAACTTGTGACAGAAGACACATTGTCAGGCATGCGTTCAGCGTCTCGTAATAATAAGATGTGGAAACAGTACATTTTTTCGCGTCAAACCTATCAACAGTTTGTTGGGAAATTAAAAAAAAACTGGTTATTTTTGCTCAAAGGGAGCAAAACTCTTAAATTTATATTTCCCTCCATTATTTCAATTTCTTCAAGATTATTCAGAGGCATAGGGAGTTAGTGGGCCACTCATAATCTCATCAGTTATTTTTGCATATTTTTGGAATAAATCCCAGAATAAACTGCCTGTAAAACCGTTGTCTACTTTATTTACAATAAATTATGGATTTTATTGCATCGTGCGAGCTTCAATTCCACGTATTACTGAAAATATGAACGAATAGGGAGGCATTCTTTTGAAATAGTATATTACGCACGCGTTTCATACAAAATTTTATGTCATCGCGCCCGGAATCCGCGATTTAACCGAGCGAAGCGAGGTTAGAATCGCGCGATTACGGGCACCGATGGCATAAAATTCATTTTTTATGACGATTTCCTTTGGAAAAAATTAAAAGTAGCCTAGAGTAACTTCTCGCACTCAATATTTCTCCGATGGACTAATACATCTAGTAACGTTAAAAGGAATGGATTTATATTTTAACAAAGACAATTTCATTAAAACTTAATTCCATTTGTATATATTCTTAATGGATATTTATCCGTACAAAATCATCTAGGAAAACTTCGCCCAATCATTCTGATTGCATCCAATGAATCGTGTATTGGCTTAAATACGAATGACTTCAGTCCGCTTCTCGAGGATCTCAAAAAATGAATTAAAAAATAGTGTCCATTGAAAAACGTAGTTACGATATTTATCTATGGATCACAAAGCCTTGACCTTGAGTTGCTTCATCCTAGGTGCTCTCTTCTTAGCTAATCTCTTTTGCTCCTTCTCCTCCCACCTCCTCTGTTTATCAGGGTCCTCCTCCTGGAGGATTCTCTCCTTTTCAGCTCGTCTTTTTTCCTCTCGTTTCTGAGCTGCTGCCTCCGCACGAGCTGCATGAGTGGATTTTAAAAATGCTTCTTCCACGCGCAACCGATTTTTATCGGATTTTCCTTTGCCCTGAAATCACAACAATTCATTTCAACCACCATTTATATTCGTGAACATTTGAACATTTATTATGGATATTTAATCATTTTCAGAAATCTAATTTTTCATGGTCATGAAAAATTTAATAATTTTTAAAACTGGAAACCGACGATGCCGAACTAGCCTTTGATATTAAAATGACAAATATTTTTAATTTTAAAACATTTTATACCTGTGCATTTATTTTGAATATCATTGAGATAATTCACTTAATATTATTGCTATTGGATCTTTGTTCGAATTTAAATGTTACGTTGCCATACATTCTTCTAAGGCAACGCAAAATGGAATATGCTATTAGTCTACAAAAAGTGTCTGTAAACGTTGATTCGTCTAAATTTTTGAATCTTGGATTTTTGAATTTTTAAAAAGATTGAAAATCTGGTTAGATACTTGAAAAAGAGAAAGAAGGCTGAAATTTCGTTTGGAATGAAGAGAATAGATGATGCATCATTTACCTCCTTTGAAAGTTTGAATCTCCTCAACTTATCCAATAGATAAAAAGACAATTGTAACAATTGCCTCATCTTTTCCTGATTCTCTCCGGTAAGTACTTTGCCCTTGATACTGATATTCAGTCCAATGAGAAGAACTCTTTTGACGTCGGGCATTGACAGCTGTCCACTTTCCCTGCGACAACAATAAGAAAATTAACAACATGACATAATGAAAAGCCAAAGAGGATTGACTGAATAAGATTATAATTCAAAAGCCCAATGGAAAATTATAAGTGTTTGTTGTGCCTCCATTGAAAACAGACTGTATTTCTGGATAGAAAAATACTCACTCCTGCTGTTTAGCTCCACTGAACTGGTCGCTAATGTGAATGTAGTCAACAAGCTGTGGATATTTGTTGATAGCCTGGAGTACTCTGGTATCAAGGATGGCACTGGTGGCCTCAGCGATTTCCGACAGAACGAAAAAGCCAGGAGGCAAGCCAAATTTGTCGCCAGGTCTTCTCTCAGGACAGTAAGTGGCAATATCTGCGATGTCTTTGGTGAGGTGCATGGCTGTTTTTTTTGTGGCGAGAGCCAAGACGAAGTTATCGCTCTCGTCCTTGGAAAGTTCAATCTTGAAGTGCGCCTGATCGCTTTGGGGCCTGACAATCTGAGAGAGAACAGCGACAAGGTCCTGTCTCTTAATTAGTTTCAGCTCTATCAGCATGGACTCACAGCCCACCCTCCCAGAGCAATAAATCTCATACTGGGACTCTGATTCCTTTACGAGGCCGTTATCGTCCTCGATGTTTGTCCCAGTGTCCCCCACCAGTGAGAAATTCTCTCGAAGGATTTTCTTGTTGTCCTGCAGCCATTTCTCACAGAATCTCAGGTTCTTAGATCTTCCTGCGAGGTAATTGATGAAGTAGACGACGAGTCCTGTCACCATTAGGATCTCTAGGTAGAAGTGATCCCATCTAGCACGAAAGTAGGGAACTTTAGTTATGGTTAGGGGTGTGGGCTCATCATTCTTGCCACTTCTCTGGCTCGACTCCAGACCCTCGAACTCCTCCTCGTCCTGGAAATGATCGAATTCAGAGTCTACATCGTCCTCCACGACACCGTCGTCTTCCTCGAACAGCTCCTCCGAGGGCACTGGAGGCGACGAGGGTTTGACAGATTCCAGGGGCTTTTTTTTCTGGTGGCTCTGGTCCTCATCAAAGTCCTCAAACTCCGCAAATTCGTTATCCTCCAGGTCCTCGTGGAAGTGGGCCGATGCCCAAAGGTTCGAACCCACCATGAGGATATGCAGCGTCACTAGCCACAGTCTCATGGTTACCTGGAACAGAAAAGAGAAATCATTTTCGTTATGCTTTCCTTTTTTGTCGGCTCCCACATTGATTTACAAAATTTGTGTTACAAAAAACAGAAAAAGTGTTGGTAAAAAAATTTTGTTGTGACAAAATATAAAATCGTCAATGATAATTAGGATTTTTCATTTTTATTCAATAATAACCTTCAAAATTTCTGGATTTTCATTGATTAAAATTTTTGAGCTGGAATTTCAATAAAATTAAATTAAATTCGATATTCCCTCCTTAAACCGAAAATTACCCCCTCACTAGGTAATTCATTTCTAATTATTGAATTAAATTTCTAAATTTCTAGAATCAAAAATCCTTTTACAGACAAGATTGAAATGTCTCTTGTAATATTGTTACATAAATTGCTATATAAATAGTTATATAAAAAATTGAAAATTCTTAATTACAATTTCGATTTTGTCTGTATTTATGCATCCTACATAAATCTCATATAGTTCTGACTTTTTTAAAGATTTTCTTGCTTACAAAACTCGTTTCGTGGCGAATTACAGGTTATTGATGACATAAAATGCCTTATTCTCATAAATAAATAAATATTGATTATTCCCAGCCATAATAAACTCAATAATTATAGTAACTCCCTATTTGTCCCTAGCCCCACATAAATATTCTCGTAATCCCGTTAACTAGGCCGTAATGAAATTTCGGAGCACAGAATCACAGAATGCAGATGCAATACATGACTTGCACGACACGAAGTCAGTCACAAGACAGCACGAACCTCCTCCTCCCGCTCCACACTAGAAGGGCGGGTGGAAAGAACAAATTCAAAAGCCTTCGACGAATCGACTTATTACCTCCAAATTAATTACCAACAAAAAGAACAATAAATCTCTTACAAAATTCAATCGCAAATTGAAAGTTTCTGCAAAAATTCGTCCACACTAAAAACCTCATATGTCCCCTAAATTCCTAAACCTTCAATTAATCAATAAAAATAGAAATATTTTTTTTCGACAGAATAAATATTAATAATTTTCGCTCAACAAATGGTTTTCAATGAATTCCCAGAAGTCACAAAAATTTGCCGAAGATTTATTTTTGCAAAGTTCGAAAATCTTGAATTCCTAGAATTTATCATAAATACCAAAAAAAAAAAAACCAATATCAACAATTATTTGTCAATACTTCATTTTCAATAAATTATTTACTTATTGAAAATAATTTCCTTTCACGAGAGAACACAAAAAATGTATTCTTCCATTTCTTATCGAAGCCTCCACCAACGTTCCAGTTCTTCCCCCGATCGATCGCCTCCCGGGCGCGTGCGCAACTTCAGTCTGTCGACAATTCCACCAGCTTTCACCTCGTCCCCCTCATTCGTAAATAAGTGTCAGTGCGAGAGGCTGTGGTGCCACGAAGTGCATTAAAACCTTGAGAAACCGGCAAAAAATTCCCGAATATTAAGTGATCACCATTCCCCACCCTGAAATTGTCCCCATCGACTCCCCTCAAGTTTCAGATCCCATAAACCTCTCCAAACCGCTGTGACGATGACGACGGTTTGTTAAATTAAAAGTTTTCGCCCCCAACAATGGATCAATACTGCGTTCAAACTTGACCTGAACTTGGTCTACACGTGCGCGAAAGAAAGTCCCCAAAAATCGAAAAAAAAGTCCCTGAACAGTGCCTCAGCCATGGACAAGGAAAATCAGGGGAAGCCCCCAAAGCGGAAATCGGCAAAGGCTACTATAATCTCAGAAATCGGTACCCAATGTGTCCAAGTGGTGGTGCGATGTCGGCCAATGGACGAAAAGGAAGAATCGAAGAATTACTCGAAGGTAGTCGAAGTGTGTCCCTCCCGAGGAGTTGTGGAGATTAGGAACCCACGGGAAGATCCGTCCCGAGACAACACAAAGATATTCACCTTCGACGCAGTTTACGATTACCATTCATCCCAACAGGACCTCTACGAGGAGACGGTACGTCCTCTGGTTTCATCAGTTCTAAACGGCTTCAACGGCACAATTTTCGCTTATGGCCAGACGGGCACCGGGAAGACGTATACGATGGAGGGAATTAAGGGTGACTCAAAACGTCGGGGGATAATTCCTCGATCGTTCGAGCACATTTTCAACCACATCGGACGCTCTGAGAACATGCAGTACTTGGTAAGGGCAAGCTACTTGGAGATCTATCAGGAGGAGATTCGGGATCTTCTGCAATCAGACCAGTCCCTGCGTTTCGAGCTAAAGGAGAAACCCGAGTCCGGTGTCTTCGTGAAGGACCTGTCTTCTGTTATCTGTAAAAGTGCGCAAGAGATTCAGCAATTGATGAACAAGGGAAACATGAATCGGACGATTGGTGCAACGAATATGAACGAGCACAGCTCTCGCTCCCATGCGATATTCCTGATAACCATTGAAATGGGATCAATGGAAGACAGCGGAATTCGTGTAGGTCGACTGAATCTCGTGGATTTGGCTGGAAGTGAGAGACAGAGCAAGACTGGATCCTGTGGGGATAGACTAAAAGAGGCGAGCAAAATAAACCTAAGTCTTTCAGCTCTCGGTAATGTCATATCAGCTTTGGTCGATGGAAAGACTTCCCACGTGCCCTATCGAGACTCTAAACTCACGAGACTGCTGCAGGACTCCTTGGGGGGAAATTCCAAGACAATTATGGTTGCCAATATTGGACCAGCGTCTTACAACTATGATGAGACCTTGACGACCCTGAGGTACGCCAACAGAGCGAAAAACATAAAAAATAAGCCGAGGATCAACGAGGATCCCAAGGACGCTCTTCTTCGACAGTACCAGGAGGAGATATCCAGGCTGAAGGAGAAACTTCTGCTGAAGGGGGCGACTCCAAACAAGAAGAAGAGGAAATCGAAGCGGCGAAAGGACGATGAGGACGAGTCAGAGTCTGACATAGATGACAGCAGGGAGGACAACAAGGTCTCTGAGGCTGATAAGAAACTCATAATGGAGCAGCTGAAGGCTGAGAAACAGGAGAATGAGGACTTGGTCTTGAGGATCAAAGATTTGGAGAGCAAGATGTTGTGCGGGGGGAAGAATATCATTGATCATACAAATGAGCAGCAGAGGGCCCTGGAGCAGAGGGCCACAGAAATTGCTGAGCGGAAGAAACGAGAAGTCGAGATGCAGCAGAAGCTCGAAGACGAAGAGTCGACGACTATCGGGGTCCGGGAGACCTACACGACTCTTCAGCAGGAGGTGGACGTCAAGTCGAAGAAGTTGAGGAAATGCTTTGCCAAGTTGCAAGCACTTAAGCAAGAGCTTGAAGACATTAACGGGGAGTACAATCGGGATCGGCGGGAACTCGAGGACACCCAACACGACTTGATGAAGGAACTGAAGCTCAAATACTTGATAATTGATAACTTCATTCCTGCGGAGGAGAAGCACAAGATCCTGAGTCGAGTAAAGTTTGACGAGGACGAGGATGCATGGGTCATCAAGGAGTCCTCTCCGTCAATTGTTGATGTCATTAAGCGGCCCACGTCTATTCCAGGGACCAGGAGACCCATCTCTGAGTTCGCAAAAATTGCTCTGGCCATGGGACGTGGCTACAGGTACGCTGGGGAAAATATTCTCAGTCTGGAGCTTGATATGCCTGCCAGGACAACTCTCGATTATCAGGGACCAGTCATTGCACCGACCATCCAGGCTGTTCTTGAGGAAGCACTCAGGGACGAGGAAGACATCGATGTCGATGCTGCTAGGCTCAGAACACCCAAACCTAGGATTTCCAGTGCCAGGCAAAGACCTAGAAGCGTTGGAAAAATTCCACAAATGCAGATCCCTGCGCCTGTCTATCCCAAAACTCGGGGACTCGTCCCCAAATAGAGTTTTCTGGTGTAATTTTTTTTTCATTCTTTCATTTTTGTTTTTAATCATATCTTTTTTTTGTAATCAGTAGGGAAATAACAAATGGGTGGTCAGAGGAAAGCCAAGTAGTTATTGGAACCTCTTTTGAAGAGCGAAATGTGAGAACTAGAGAAAAATGTTATTATCAACATCTCGGTTTCTTTTTTAGATTCGGAGATATTCGTCGGAAAGTGACCTTTTAGATGAATCGTTTTGTTACTTTTCACTTTTTCGCTATTGACTTTCTGTGCAAAACGAAATTTCTGAATCTGCATGGGCAGCTGAAAGTCGAAAAATTAAAATGCTAACTTTTGAATATTGCGTTTGAGTTGAAGTCAATAAAAATAATTAACTAGCGAAGTGAGTAGAGTTGAACTTAGGTTTTGTTAAATATCGATGGATTTTAAGAACCATTGATTTCAAGAAGAAATATCAAAATTAAATATTGAGAAAAAACATTTTGATAAAGATAAATGAAAAAGTTAAATTCAACTCATAAAACTTTATCATTTGCCTTCGGAATTAAAAAATAATGTTCTTGTGATACCTATCGATCTGCTGGTGACATTAGCAGACTGAAATTACTTAAACAATGAGAAATTGTTCCTCTAGTCAGCTAAATAAAAACACCGAGTAAATCCAAGCACAGAATTTTCATTATAATCGTAAAATAATGTCACTGACTCATGTATTTATCATCAAAGGAATAGCACAATTTACAAACCAACGTATAATTTTGAATATCCTAAACCTAAAAAAAGATCACCTTTTAAAAAAAATAGATCAATATGAATTCCTTACGTACTTTCATACGCCACTCACATCTGTAAAGAATTGTAATTTTTTTCACGAGAACGGCCTCGGTAAAAAAATATACAAATTTCACATTGAAAAAAAGCCAAGAGTTTCATTCCACTGATTAAAAAACCAATTAAAAGTACTTGGACACTGCTTACAGTGCATAAACAAACGAATGGAAATCGAATTAGTAAAATCTCTGCTGCTGGGAGTAATTTCCGTACTGATTCTGCTCTGGATAGCCAATGGATGCAGGCGCAGGTGCAGATGTAGGTGCTTGATACTGATTCTGATACATGTGGGGATATTGAGTCTGCACATGACTCTGGGGTATCCCATACTGTCCCTGACTGATGGCTCCATAATTAGCCTGTTGATTGTAATTATACCCGTTATTAATGGCGACGGGATTGACGTACCCCTGATTATTGAATCCCTGATTGTACTGATTTCCAAACTGATTGTGACTCATTGCTGGCGCATACGACGCAAGATTGTGCTGAGTCTGATGATTGGGCTGAAGGTTGGGGACAGGATAGGCCTGGGGCGGGAAGCTCTGAGGTATGGAGACATTAGTGGATCCGGGAGGTGCTGGATCCTTGCTCTTCTGCCCCATATCCTCCCTCTCAGGATTGTGGCTCTTCACCACGTACTTATTAGGCAGGTCACCCATGATATTGGCGATTAATCTCTTGGTTTCATTGAGAATAGCAGTGGGATCGCTGGGTTTCTCCTTTCTCGGTGATCTGGACCTGGATCTCGACCACGATCTCGAGGAGTTGGACCTTGACTCTTGTTTCCTCGCTTTCTCACTCTCCACAACATTCTTGTCAGCAGCTTTGTAAATATCCTCGTACGAATAATCATCATCGTCATCAGACAGATCGATCTTCTTCGTCTCGCCCTCCCTCTTCCTCACCTCCTCCTCATCATCAGCGAACATGTCCAATTGGGGTTTCCACTTGGCATGGTCGTCATCACTTGGATTGTGACCCCCTTTCCGTGTGGAAAACGGTGAGACACTTCTCCTGCACCTGGGTTCTACCTCACGAGGTGGAGTCTCAGCCCTCATCGATGTTCCACCTAAATTCACGAATCCTCTCAGTTTTTCCACTCTCGCTGGATCAGACGCCTCCAGCTTCTTCAGAAAATTAATCAAGCCGTGCTGCTCGTCGGTACCAAGGTCCTTGAAATTTTGAAGGAGATCCTTGAGGTCATTGTCTGTGAGGTTTTCCATTCTCCTGGCATGAGCGTCAATGGGATCAACCATAGCCCCAGCTTCCTTAATCTTCAGCTCTTCCTTCTCAATGTTTTCCATTCTCTTACTTTTCTTCACCAGCTCAATCCTCTCCGCCTCCTTCTCCACCTTCACCCTCATCTCCATCTCCTTCCCTGGAGTTTCCGCCCTCACCGTTACTCCCTCTCCAGTTGTCAAACTCTTCACAAAACTCGCAGCAGTGATCGGTTTATCCGAATTCTTCGAGGCCTCAGCCATCCCCACAACAGCATTAATCAACGTCTCTAACTCATCTTGAGAGACATTAGTCCTCCCCTGGGCAATAAGTGCAGCAGCAATCTGCTGGGCAATGGCTACTTTATCCACAGCCCCCACACCAGGTACTCTCACAGGTTCAGACTTGGGTATCTCCAGAGACCGCGAGAATAACGCACTCCTGGCAAAACTCGCTGATATCTGCTGCCTAATCTCCATCGCCTCTTTTTTCCTTCTCTCCTCCTCCTCCACTCTTTTCTTCTTTTCCTCGGTCGCTTTATGCAGCAGCTGCGCAATATTTGTAATAGCTGACTTGGTGGGAGCTATTGCCATCTTTTCAATCATTCCAGCAAACAGTTGTCCCTTTAATTTCTCTTTGACAGTCTCAAACAGGACAGCCACCTCCTCATCCTGGAGGAGCTCCTCCGCAGAATTGGGTTTACCTTTCTCGGCAGCCAGCGCTTTGGAGAGAAGTGCCACGACCTTGGGCCCCAGTGAGCCGAGCTGTCCCTCAAGGGCTGTTAAGAGTCGTAAGAGCCCGACAATCTCCAGGTCCCCCTTGAGGGGTTCCTCCTTCGGTGGAGGCGTCGGCGATTTCTCCTTGACGATGTAAGAGTAATGACGTGGTCTGGCAACAGGCCGTGGTGGTGGATAATAAGTTCGATAATTAGATTTTGCCCGGATGTAGCTGTATGCGTAGTCCCTCTCTTCCCTGTGGCGCTCGTACGGATCGATTCTCTCGAGTTTAGTCGTTTTCAGTGTGCCAACGTACTCTACGTCGTCGTCACTGTCTACATGGTGACGTTGGCGCTTCGGAGGAGTTTGTCGAAGTTCTTTCTCACGTTTTGACGGCCACTTCGGCTCGGGGGGTTTTTCCTCCGGCAGCTCCAGCCGTTTCCTAATCTCTTCCTTTCGCAATGACAACTGCTCGTTGTGAATTTCTCGCATTCTCTTATTCCAGAAGTCTATCCATTCAGGTTTAAAGTCGTGTTTACTCGGGTCTTTGCCGTCCGCCTGCAGCTCTTTGTACCTCCGGTTCCAGAATTTCTTCCACTCGTCTGGATATGATGGGTGTTTCTCTGGATTTTTCTCGTGGAACTTCAGAGCTCGATCCAGAGTCTCCTCTGCCCTGCGGATCTGCTCCCGGAATTTGTCCCACTTGTCTCGTTCCCGCAGGGGTTCTGGGGAACGCGAACGTGACCGACGGGATTTTGATGACCGATAACGGGTGCGAGACACCATACGTGGAGAACGAGAACGTGAACGCGAACGGGACGGCGAGGGCGAGGACGAGATCGAGGACAGGGAGGACAGAGATTTCGTGTCATCTGAGGGACGTAGCTTCTTTACATCGTCCGATTTCCGGTTCAGCTTCTCCTTTGACAGAATTCGAATTTTGAATTCCCTAAAAAAAAAGTCTTGTCAGTTTTTTTTCTGATTGGCTCCAGAATTTTCCGAAAATTGAAAGGTACGTCGAATTTTTTGTTGATACAAGAAAATTATTGATGGACAGTTTTCTAGATGAATTTAGCCTTCTTGTTAGGGATTGGAAACAATAATTCAGATTTTTCAGACTTCTTTAAATTCCTTTGGTGTTTTTTATTTAAAATGGGTAGTTTTCGAGGTAAATTCCAATTTTTTACCATTATTTTTAGTGAACGGAATTATCTTCGAATTCTAAATTTAGCAAACCAATAATACAATTTCAAGTGATATGTTATTTAAATCGATTCATGTAATCATATTACACAATTCTATTAATTGACGGGAATAGATTTTTAAAATTTTTTGGGTGTTCCTATTTTGAGGCCCACGTGGACTATCTATCGAACGTAATCTTTTTTTTAAATTCTATCTTGTTTACCTAAAATATATTAAAATTTGAGTTCGAATTTGTGCTGCAATCCTATTCCTATCTAAAAGAGAGATGGACATTTATAGTGAATCGAATAGATATTCTCGAAAGTTGAAGCCTAGAATCTGTTACACTCATACTTGATCTTTCATTGGCGTGCATATACTGTCCTATGTACGAACTTTGTCATGGAGCATATACATAACGTCATCTATCTGAATTTACTTCAGGAAAGATTTTTTAAAAATTGTAATCCCTAAAAAATTTAGAGTCTAACTGACTTATCAGTAATAATAACTTGTGTTTAAACATTCTAAGGTGTTTCTATCAAATTTCAGGAGTCATTTACAGATTAGTAATCTGTGACAGGAGACACATTGTCATGCGCGCGTTCAGAGTTTCGTGGTTATAAAAAGATAATGAAAAAAATGAAGAAAAATTATAGAAAGGCGCTAAATCGCGATATTGACTGAAAAGGATCTACCAAGTTTACAAAAAAATTATGAAAAATATGCTGCTTAACATTACGTCTAGCAGTCACTCAATCCAGTAGAGAGCGATGATGAGCTGCTAATTTTTTTGTAAATTTGATATATCCCTTGCAAACAATACGATGATTTAATGCCTTTCCATAATTTTTCACCTTTTTTCGTTACGTTCTTATATTCATTCGGGTTGTTCCCGTAACACAAATTTGATTCCATATTTTAATATATTTTAGGCTAACAAGATAGAATTAATATGAAAGATTACGTTCGAGAGATAGTCCATGCAGCCCTTAAGTTGTTTAAGTATTTTTATTTTTACGGTAAATGTTCAAGGTAAATTAAGATTTTTTAACAGCTTTCTTCAGTGGACGATTTCAAAGAATTTCAAATCACGAAAATGTTTAGAGATCATTTTGGTTTTGATGGAGTAGTGGAAATTAATAATTTAGTTGAATTTAACAGATTAATATGAAAATTTCAGGTGAATTATTCACGTAATTTTGTTGCACAATTACAAAATATAATAAGCTTAGTTTTGAGATTTTTGAGAATTTTCTCAAATTTTCTTTAATTTTCCGGGTGAATGATAAAAAAAAAACTTTCCAATAAATTGTTTATTCAAATGAACATAGACATTACTCACGATTTACTAGTATCAGGTTCGATTTTCTTCGGAAAAGCTTTATCCAAATTACTCTCCTCCTTTTTCGGTTTATCCTCCCCCTTTTCATCCATCGTCACATCTTCACTCCGAAGAAACATTAACACAAGAGAATTCAGAATGAGTAAATCCCCTAAAATCTGGGTGAAATCCATCCAGAAATTCCGAAAAATCACAAACAAATCTCACTCACCTTTTTTGCCATCATCGTTCACTTCAGCCATTTTCTCATCAAAGTTCGTCACCCATCTCACATCGTAAACTTCCATAAATGTTAACTCTGGTGTTTCCCTGTACGTAGGAAACAACCGGATTATTCTTTTGATTTTGGAAGAAATACCTCTCACTCCAAAAATCCCCACCCAACAAATAACCCATCGAGATAAATAAAAAGCTACTGAAAGAACGATGGTCTCTACCAGAGCATAAAAAATCCTCCACTTACCTAAAATGAAAGTCCTGATAAACATTCTTGATATACTGCATTTTATTCTTCTCAAACTGTCCTTTATCCACCAACTGTGGCTGTAATCTACCAAATTTCTCTTCAATCTTCTTGGCCACAAGCACAGATATTTCATTAGCCCCACGTTTATAATTTTGCGTCCTCGGTAATTCAGTGATAGCTCTCGATATAGTTGGAAAATGACGATTTAAATAGGTAATGCGATGATTGTAACTGGTGATGTGTGCCATCACAGTTCTGGGATCTCCACGTTTATCACACAAAACACAAGTGTAGCTGGGCTCGCAAGATTCGTTATCAATGAGCTCTAACAAATATTCAAGGCCAACTAATGGTGAACTCCGGTGACGATCGAGAGACGTTTGAATTGTTGTAGCACGTGTCATTTGGTCCTCCATACCTGGTGGCACTGGTTCACCAGGTGCTAAGGCGTCTGAAATTGATACTTGACCTGATCCAGACGCCTTAAGACTCTCGCGTTTTGACCAGAGGGACACTGGATACGGCCACTCATCCAGTTTTATCTTGTGACGACTTGAGGTGTTGTGGGATTGGAGCTTGTGAGCACCGAAGAGGGCTATGTTGCAGATGTGACACCATATGTCAGAGTCTTCTGTTCGAGAGTAGACAGGACGCAGAGTTCCATCTTCAGCGGTTACACTGCATCGCATCAAACGCTTACGATCGCTCTCTTCCTGGAAGGCAGAAGTTGGATATTAACCGATAGTTCATTAATAATCTTAGTATTTTGTTACCAGGATAACTATTCCAAGGAAATTAAATGACCTTGTCATTTATTTTGTAAAAATTTGCTTTTTAAATACTTCCATTTCAGATTTAGCCAAAGTTGAGGATAATTCAAGAAACAGATCAATTACCATTCCTTTTAAATTGAATCAACATTAATGTCATTAACTCTTAATGGCTCATAATATGTGGTAGTGAAAGGGCATGAGAGAAACGAGGAGTATTCGGGTTTGAACGACAACAGCGAAATTTCGCAGAACATCTTTTGTAGAGGGACGTTGGGGGAAGAAAACTTGAAGGGGGAGAAAGACGTCAATGCCTTAAGAAATATTGCCCTATTCAATCAAAATATAAAAATTGACCAATTAAGGGCTGCGTGGACTATCTATCGAACGTGATCTTTTGCTGCAATTCCATCTGGTTAGCTTAAAATTCTATATTAAATTTGGAATCAAATTTGTGTTCCAGGCATCACTTCAATGGTTATACAAAATTAATGAAAAAAAAGGGATCCACCAAGTTTGCAAAAAAAGAGATGCGACCAGTTTAACATTTTTATAAATTACCGATCCATCTTGAAATCAGTCGATACCTACGGTGGAAATATTGAAGGATTTTTATGAGGCCAATTAAATTTCCGACAAAAGTCTCTTTGTATTTTCCTCCTGAATCAATAGTCAATAGTTTTCGAGATTAATCAATAATTGACAAAACTGGAAATTCGATTTATCGAGTTCTAACTTTGCTACTGGCCTAAAAATCACATGTTTAAACAAAATATTAAAAAGTACCATTGGGTATAAGACATTAGGGGTTTATAATAAAAATAAAATAAAGAACTTAAAAACTGCCGTCCTGCGTCTCCCGTGAAAATATTTCTCAAGTTTCATCTCAATTTATCTAATTTATTAAAGTATATGTATTTAATTAATCCTGAATTAATCCAACGACATGAAATCTCCCAAAATCAAATATTCACTCAAGATGGTCAGCCACAGATCTTCATGGATGCAAACGAAAATAATCTTCGATTGATATTTGAAATATTCATGTACCTTTTCACGTTCTTCCTCAGATAAATACGATGCATTTCTTCCCTCGATATCGAGGTCATCAAAGTTCTGCATTCTGGTGCTTTTCATTTACCCCACCATCCAAAAATTTTCCTGCAAATAGAATTTTTCACAATCCACGTGAAAATAAAAAGATCAAGGAGAATAAAAAAAAAGCTTCATCTTACTTTCCATCTACTTACCCCATTATTAAATACTCAACTCAAAATTAAATGTACTAAAAAAACGAAATGTACGACAGATAAGTTTCCAAGATAAATCTCAAGTTTTCTACTAAAATATGAAAAATATGAATTGGCTTACAATACACGTATGTGAGAATTCAATAAAAAAAAACGTTTTCTAAAAATTCTGTTGAATTTCTATTGCAAATCCCTAGAAATTCCATTCGAATTCTATTAGAATTCTACAACATTCTAAGAATTCTTTTTTGTACTCTCAAATCGGATATTCTCAATCAATAAATCAATATTACACTGAAAAACAAACAAAAATTGCCTCCAATAATTATAATTTAAAAGAAAAGAAAGGAGAATACCACCAGGAAAATAAAAATTATACAATTTTTTCAATTAATGGAATATCCAATAGGATTGCCACGAGAAACATATAGAATTCTTTTAACAAGTTAATTTCAAATAATTGCTATAAACTTCGAATAAAAATTCGGCAGAATTTTTCAAGAAAATGCTGGGTTTTTTTCAGAATTAATCCACAAGTGTCTTGTGACTGCATTTTAATCTTCTGAATTATTACATGGATTTGCTAGAAGGCAGATAACACCATTCCAGCTTACTTACCAAGCTCAACCTCAAATGGTATAAAAAATATATCAACCGCATCAAGAATCCACGAAATATCACAATATGATAAATGAATCTCAATAAAATAAACCACTAGAGGGTGAAAAGATCACCTCGATGAGTAGTATAGAAAAATTAATCACAATTCATGAATAATATTTCATAAATCATATACTACATAAACGAGTCCAGTACACTGGATGCACCCACTTGTGTACAAAACCCACGGACATTGGAATATTCACGATAGATTGTTTTAATTGGTAAAATTAACGGAGGGACGCCGGTGGGTCGTTAATCGTCCTCGAAGGCACCACAACCGCATCAACTGAATGCTTATACATTAACGAAGGTAATTGTCAATAATGTCCAATTAATTCTATTTACTCACCGAAAGTGTTGGAATCCCTGATTTCAAGCTATTATCTCTACTGATGAAAATCCAACGATATTTTTTACGATATTTGCTATCCACTTTCTCTTCACAACTTAATCAAGACAGCCATCTTGTTTCGCAGAAGAATAAAAAAAGAGTCTCTTTTATTTCATCGGTTTTAGTTCAAAAGGAACACGTGAGAGGGAAATTCACCATCTAATGGCGATAAGGTAGACATTTTGTACTCCCTAAGTTATCGACTGCCGTTGAATAAATGGCTCTAATTGGGGGTTCGCAAAAAAAATTATAAATTCCGCGTGAATATATGAATGATATGAATGAAGCTCAGTCAATTCATTAAATGATTGCGATAGAATTTGAAATCGATTTTCCCTTTATTCAGATCAGGGCGACTGCCCGTGGCATTTTACTTTGTGAAAGGGCAAACGGGTCTTTATGAATTATGGAGAGGATTTTTGTTGATTACTCTATCGCTGGATCAATTTTTAAAGCGCGGAAAGTCAGGGGATCCCCATCTTATGGCAGAAAATTTTTGTCAGATGTTCGCGGTGATTTGCTTGGTGAAAAAGCAGGAGACACATGGATGCATAATTACTTTTCTTGTTGAAACGCTTGATACGCCTTGAGGAAGGAAAATTGACCGGGCGGGGTTTCTCCGTGTTTATAATTTTCCCTCCAGCCAAATTTCTACGGATCTTCTGCAATTATTTTTAGTAGAATGGTTTTAATGCGATGGTAATTCAATTTTGGATATAAGATTGATGGAGCATCGCGTCCTCAGCATGGAAAAATTAGAGTTTATGTTGGGATTTAAATCTCATTGATCAGTTTCATATTTTGGGGGGCAAAAAAATTAGATTTGATTTTTTATTTTGAGATTTTCAGTTTCTTGGAATGAATGGTACTCCGATTTTCAAAGATTTTCCGAAAATCAAAATTCATTTGGAGACATGAATCTCAATTAAAAATTGAGAATTTTAAACGTTTAAGAGCTAAAGAGTTGACTGTTGAGATTTTTGAGTCTTAGCTTGTAATTTGAGTATTGATTTAAGACCCGAATGGGATATCTCGTAAAGACAATTTATTCAAAAATTTACATTTTTAATTTCCTCACCAATTAATTGTTTTCTTTTCAGACATTGTTGGTGTAATTAAATAACTAAATTTTTATCTTTACTAGCGTATACGGCGCGCTATGCGCGCCCAAGCTTACATGTATGGGGTATTATCATATAAAATCTTCATATAAATTTTGAATATTAAAAGAATCTTAAGTATCGCAAAAAATTAGTCATAATTTAAGTTTTTTTTCTTTAATTAAATTCAATTGATAAATATAGCAATAATAAACAATTATATATAAATTAAAAATTAATATATATATATATATATATATTTAATATAATAATTCATTAATATATATATATACATATATATAATATATAATATATATTATATATATCATATATATATACATTAATTATTTATATGAATATATTAATATGATATGCATAGCTTAGCTATGCGCCAAAAAAAGCTGACAAAAAACGTTACATGCTTTTTTTTAAAAGGGAAAATAATCCAGCCGGACCTAAAGACTTTTAAACATAGGATTTTTCGACTCGATTCAATTTCAAACTCTATATTGAACAAAAATTAAACTGAAGAAATTTATGTTCAGTCCTAAAATTCTTGAGTTCAGGTCCGCATGAACTATATGTATCGAACGTGATATTTTGTTTAAGTCCTATCTTATTAGGATTATATATGAAAATTTGGGAGCAAATTTATGGTGTGGGAAACACTTGAATGGTTATAAAAAGATACTGAAAGCAAAGAGGACAAATTATTGAAGGGCGCTCAATCGCGCTATTGATTGAAAGAGATTTACAAAGCTTACAAAAAAATAATAAAAAATATGCAGTGTACCATTGCATTTAGCTGTCATTCAATTCAGGTGAGACCGATGGTAAACTGCGTATGTTTCATTATTTTTCTGCAAACTTGGTAGATCCCTTATTTCAATTAATATCACAATTTAACGCCCTGCAATAATTTTTACTCTTTTGTTACGAATGGAACCCTTGTATTCGATCGATTTTTTGATTTTCTAATTTCAATTGCAAGTTATATAAAATGTTCTGAAACGCGAAAAAACAATGTTTCTAGACAATGTCTGTGTAGATGTTAGAAAATTCGAAATTTTGAAAATTAATTTTTAGAAAATTCAACATAAATACGGTAAAATTCGCAGCTATAGATCTGAATTTTGGACTTACGATAACTATCGATAATCTTTTCTTTGATGCGTCGTTTCAGCTTGATCGGTCTAATACCTCCTCAGGTATAACAACTTTTATAAATTTAGTTCTGCCTAAATATTTCAGGAACTACTGCAAGGATTTCCATTTTTTTTCCCAAACTTCTCGTCTCAATGGTGTTATGCTCCAGGTTTGGTCAATTAGGTTATTGTTAAATATTTGAACATCCAGCATTGTCAGCATGACACTTCTGATCATAGCTAGATTATGCTGATCAAGTAATGACACACAAACAATTATGTATTTAAAAGACCATTTGCAGAAATCAGATGCAAATCGAGCTCCGACATGTGTTAGCTGTAATCTTTGTAATCACTTAGATAATGCAATGAAGGTAATGAACGTTCGTATCTAAATACCTATAAAGTCTGGGTATTTAAATATGAAGGTTTATTACTGTACACTAAAGTAATTATTTCAAGTAATAAACTCTCGTATTTAAATACTTATAAATTATTGGTTATGTTCGGCCGGTTAAGCCGTTTTTGAGAAATCGTGAGTATTCATTTTTTTTCCTTTTATATATATATGTATATCTATTATTTAACAAGATTCGTTACAGGTTCTTTCAAAAACTTCCAACTGGCAATTGCCTGAGGGCCTTCAGCCAATTTTCTTTTATATTTTTGGTTTTATATAATTGGAATTAATAAAAAATTGAAAGGTGGACTTTGGAAGATATCATATAGTTATTGTCACTCTTCTGTTATTGAAAAAAGAATGTTATTCGTCCTGTCGCCCGAGCAAAAATTGAGCTATTAATTCAAAATTCGCCCGAAATTCACGTGTCAAACTGAGGCTCAAAAATTCACCACTAAAATATATAGTGAGATTCCACTAAGCGGAATAATTGCTCAAGATTATCAGTTTACATTGGTTCCCTCGTTAAATAATTAATATTGTGGGAGCGAAATTCCTTGAAATTTCACTGAAAGAGGCCAAAAAGAATAGCTATCTAAAAACCCCTTAAGAAGCACTGATCCGATACCTAAATTATACCTGAATTATTTCTATACCTAAGCAGGCGTTGGTATTTATTTGATTTGGAAACATTTTACTAGTAATTTCAGTAACGAGCAGGGTAGATTCTCACTGAATTCTTAGCAGTCGATCTGCTTTCATTTTATAAGTAAATTGATCATTGTAATAAGAAAAAAAGCACTACTAATAATAATAAAGCTATTCTTGCACGTAGAGAACAAGTAAGAAATAATGATGCAGTAAGCAATTTGGAGCTAAACATTCTATATATGAATGAAGTCTAATTAATGCCTGCATAATTCATTTGTTTATATGAAATGTTTTATTTATTTCTTTTCACCCATATAGATTATTATTATTTATTATTATCATCATCATCATCATCATCACCATTATTATTTTATATGCGTATCATAATATATACTTATTTTAAAAAAGTTATTTTTCAAAAAATCTGCTGATACTTGATTTTAACAGACATTTTATTGAACTTTGCTCAACCGGAGTTGCGGAACCTCAATTGACTCACTGACCTATATCGTCTGCATTCTGTTCATCATTTTTACCTTATACTAATTTTTAGCAATTCTATTGGCTGAAATTTGAACGGAAAAAATAATGAAGCGTCTTCTACTGTTTTGCCTACAATATGCATGAATAAATTTAGATTTGACAAATTCCAAAGTTTATTGTCGTTCAAAAAGTTATGATGTTGTAAAATGTGGCTCAGCCTGCATGGAAAAAATTGAGAAAAAACATTGATAAATTGGAACAAATTGAAAAAAGAAGGAAGTTCTTTTTTTTTGTCAAAGTTTGTAATTAAAGAAGTTTCTCCATTCATTTGACGATTCGAGTCGTATTTCCCGACATTAATGCAAAAAACCGCTACAATAGCACATTTCGATTATTTAGACAATAGCTCCGGACCGATTTGGAGGATTATTTTTGGTACACTTATTATTTACATCTCAAGTAACAGGGGCAAAAAGTTGGCTTATTAATCCTATTCTTCCGTGTTCATTTCTCTAAAGCCTGAACTAGAGTAATACAGCCGTCATTTTTAATAGTCATAGAAAATGCAGACAAAAATTACGAGTAAGATGGATAATTTTTCTGAAATATATGTATATTTATTTTTTCCTATGGAAGTGTTCGGTAAAAAGTAATTCAGCGACGTGATGCAGGAGTCATTGGCCCGTAAGGAATCACTCCGATTCATTTAGATAGCCCCCACCAGAGTGAATGGAAGAATTTCCAACCAGATAGTACAGTCATTGGCGGCGGGAGGGGGGGGGGGCGTGGAGAGTCACGTTGATGGCTTCGGCATCCACCAGGCCCAGACCTTGAACCAGTAAACACTGGTCCACGCAGTGGTGTATTTCCGCCCATGTACCTTACCCACTTGTTTACGGCAACTAAGGTGAAGTGAAGATTACAATATACCTTCCTCAAGTACTCTATGATGGGCTCATGCTCATGGTCTCTTGTGTTTATTCTCTGCGTGGTAAGACTGAGTCAACAGTGGTCAGCGCTTGACATTTGGTTACGGCCATTGGAGAATTCAAATGGGGGGAAATCCGACGAGCAAAGGGGTAAGTCCCTATCTTTTCTTGATTTATTGAGCCTTCAGATCAGCTCCTAATGGGTGACAATTCGATCTTCTAAGGGAATAAAGATTCTTTGGCAACTCTTGGTCTTAATTACGCAAGAAAGCAACTCTTTAGCGGTTAAAGTTTATCCTATAATAGTGCCACTTTTTCTATATACACTCACAAAATTTGAATTCAGGGATTTTCCCGGTTGTTATGGAGAGTATGATTTACAGAAGCCATGGAGAATTTTTGCCCTCGGTAGTGATTATGAAACGGAATTGTCGGATCCTTTCGATAGATTTCTGTTTAATTCGACACTTTTACATAAATCCAAATAAAACCATGAATTTATTGCGATCCTCAAGTCGAGATAAAGATATATTTTGTTTGTATTTATTTTATTTATGCAGGATATTAGCAGTAAAATACGTAGCCTACCATTGCATCTAGCAGTCATTCAATCTCCTGGAGAGCAATGGTAAGCTGCGTATTTTTTTTATTATTCTTTAGTAAACTTGGTAAATCCCTTTGAAACATCGCCCTTTAGCGCCCTTCAATCATTTTTACTCTTTTTTTCTATCATCATTTTATAGCCATCCGACTGGTTCCCAAACGCAAATTTGATCCCAAATTTTAATGTATTTTAGGTTAACAAGATAGAATTTAAGCAAAAGATCACGTTCGACAGATGGTCCACCTGAAACTTACCTTGGCTTCAACGTTGAAAAACAAATAATAGGGGTTAATAAAAGAAATCATTCCATTGTTGGAGTGATTCTATCGTCACCGAGAAGTCCGGAGGAGACATCGGCTGCATTCAAAGGAATAGTTAGAGGCGATTTGAACCATAAATGATTAGGTCTACTCCGGCCATTGTCGACAACTCACAGTTATTATTTGTACATTCGAAAGGACCACTAATGTTGTCAAATACATGTTAGAAGACAAGTGTATGGTTAGGGAGAATATGTCAGGCGTTTTGCAGCTTGGGACAAGTTACCAATTGTTGTTTGTGGTGTAAAGTATTAATTCTTCCGCATAATTGTTCCGCATCTTCCTCATGTCTTCCAAGCTGCTGCGAAATTTACGTAGGTTCGTGACAACATACGACGATATAGTGAAGACAATAATCATCACATTCTCGATAGTTGTGAAAATTTGAACAAGAGTTATTCAAATGTCGTTCCGGTGCTGCACTTATTGGACTCATGAAGAACTCTTGAAGACCGGAGAAGATTTGAGAAAGACAAGAATCGTTGTCATTTATGACTGTTGGAGCAACATCGGTTGTCCTTCATTGTCGTCCATTTTGGAAACATCGGTCAGTATGTCTGTCCTTGTCTAATTTTATAGCTAGGTAGCGAAGGTTCTGGCCGGTACAGGAGAGGGGAGGTGCCAAACTTTTTTTTTAAATAATTCAAATGAAATATAAAGTAAATCTGTTTCTTTATTAAATAATTTCATATTCATCAATTGTGTATACATGAAATAATTACATATTTATCATTTCATTAATATTTCAAATTACATATATTTTTTTATACACATTTTATATACCACCCACTTCTGCAGTTCTTCACACGATTATGAAATAAACATCGTTTAAAAACTTACGTAGTGAGTTGATCCGTCTTGTTGACTCATTGAAATGGAAACACTTGCTTGTAAAATAGAATATATACAAAACTATAAATTATAATTTGGCCGGAGAAACAAAATTGAAACTTGAATACCGCAGGCGCATATAATTCATATAATAATCAAAATGATAAAATATTTCCAACCACTTCCTCCACCTTTGGGGATCCTAACGCTGTACGATTTGGATTTTTTTCTTCCTTCCACCATAATTTCGTACACGGAGAGAAAAACAGGAAAAATTACGTGACTAATCACGTAATGGTGGGCTGGAGTGTCATTTCCTTGTTTTTTACTGGAGAATTTGGGAAAAAATGAGAGACGAACAGTAAATTTAATTATTTGCTCTGGAAAATTTACATGACAATCACGTAATTTCGTACGAACTTGTAAAATTTACCACAGTTCCGCTAAAAATTATTCCGAGTAACGTAAAAATTATCCAGTTTCATTTAAATTTTACGTGACGTACCGTAATTTTTACGTGACCAAATTGAAAAATTCCTAGACAGCGTTGGTGGTACGACTGTTGGTCATACCCGATCGCGAATCATTGTCTAAGTTCGGATCACGCCTCCCGGCAAATTATTATTGTCGGAAGGATAATCAGTATATTCTGCCTCTAGGCCCCAGAGTCTAGGGAGTATAGTATATTGTGCACCATGGGAGGAAAACAGGGCATTCCAACCCGCGTGGGTATTACCGACCCGAGGCGAAGCCGAGGGTGGTAACCACGCGGGTTTGAATGCCCTGTTTCCCTTCCGCGGTGCACATTGTTCTTTCCGGCATGGCTACACGGAAAAGTTCGATTTTTCTTCGTAAATGAAGGGAGGAATGTGGGTTATGTTATCCCGAGGATGCTCAAAAACAATAGAAATCCGAGGGAGAGAATAGGCCACTTTCTTCCCGTCATTTGGGGAGTAAAATCGAACTTTCCGTGTAGGTATGACGGAAAAGTATTTTCTGACGAAATGGGAGTTTATAATCACATGAGTCATTTCTGACGAAATGTGAGTGTATAATCACATGAGTCAGAACATTAGTATCTTATGCAACACGTGCGTAATATATTTTGTGACTCGTGGGGGATTTGTAACACGAGCCCAAGGCGAGTTTTACAAGCCCACGAGTCGAAAAATATATTACGCACGCGTTTCATACAAAATTTTATGTCATCGCGCCCGGAATCCGCGATTTAATCGAGTGAAGCGAGGTTAGAATCGCGCGATTACGGGCAGCGATGGCATAAACTTTATTTCCGTGAGGCAAACGATATTTTATTTTCGTAGGGACTGGAAACTTCGATCTAACCGAGTGAAGCGAGGTTTGAATCGTATTTTCCAGTCCCGCCAAAATTTACGGAACTAAGTACCGTAATTTTTCTACTTCTAAAGGTGACTTTTTACCAACCGAGCGGTAAAATGTTCTGTATGATCGGTACTTTTTCGATTTTACATTTCGCCCCATGTTTACCTTTCACACATGAATTTTTACGGAACTTTTTACGTATTTTTTCCAGTATTTTTCTCTCCGTATAGCGATATTTTGTCGACGGTTCTTTTTATAAATACTTGACCATATCACTTTTTTTCTCATCTTCCCAAAAAAACAATCGTCTACCTCGCACAAGAAACTCCGGGAAACTTAGAAAATGTGAAAAACCGAAGTCAGGCGAAAAGTATCTTTCACTAATTTTCACCGATAAAGGATAAACTGAACTGGAATATATCCCTTGTTTGCTATATTCTAGTCAGAAAGTATAAGTAGTTACTAGGAAAATATCTCCAAGTTGTCCCACTAATCCCTCATTTTACCGTTCCTAAATGAAAAAAGGAAAATGCCTAAAAACAATGAAATACTGACTTTTTTAGATGTTGTGAAATATGGTAAAGAATTTTTTTAAGTCCTTTCAAAATGAAAAGTTTTCAAAGTTTCAAAACGTTAGATTACTTTGACAACAAGACGATGATGCGAGTCTTCACATCAATTTTTGGAAATAACAGAGCAAAAGCTATTCTGGCTAGATTGTTCTTCCTATTCAAATTGCCTGCTCTCAGTCAAAAATTGAAATTGATCATCTACATAGGCCTTGGTAGATCAGTAATCACCTATATCTGTACTATCTGGCACAATGCCGCTCACACTCGCATTGATAAACTCCAGATTACCCAAAATAAGTTCTTAACAATCATTGGTGGTTACAATAGATTCACCACAATTAATCAAATTCACAATGAACTGAATATAGAAACTGTTCAGAGAGGGATCTGGTTTTGGGGATATTTTTAGTCGATGGACGAGAAATTTTCTGAATACGGGAAAATACGAAGAGGGTCAAAAAACATTCCCGTGGCGTTGGTTAAAAAGAGTCAACTTTTAGTTGTCAATAAATCACTAATTACACTTGAATAGGTCACAATAAATGAGCTGAACAAAAAAACGGTATATAAATCAAAGAATTATAAAAGTATTTCCGAGAAGTACTAATAATGAGCAGGCCAATTAAGAGTGATAAGTCGCAAGGTGGAAGTTGTCGATCATCACGATGGTCAATTACACCTGCCCATCAAGTGGCGCCTTAGGTGTCAGAGGTGAAAGGCTGATCATCTGAGGTGAGTGACCCAACAGCTGTGTGAGTCATGTGTGCTGAGTCTGTGTGTGTGTGTGTCTGAGGAATAAAAATTCAGTAGAAAACCGAACATTCTCCTCTGCTGACGGTAAAGAGCTGGTCTGAAACATAAACGAGATTAACCGAGCAACGACAATAATTACTCGATGATCAATATTACCACTGCAGTCCATCAGCGACAATCAATTGCCAGCACAACCAGAATCATTGGAGGCGTAAATTCCGCAGATTCTAACTGGTCGGCTTCCGCTTCAGCCCCGGATCCAAAACGTGAGGCGTAAATCCTCATCAAGTTCTTGTCAGGAACAGAGTAATGGTGAACCAAGCCGTTGGGACGAACAATTGTTGAGCAGCTTGATGCTCCTGAGATTTTCATGAGCGGCTTGAAGATCAGAAGTTGCTGGTCGAGACTGGTAGAAGGACGAGCTTAGCGATGGGCCGCTGTAAAGTAGAGCTGGACGTCTTGATGGTTACCACTCTGGTGAATTTTATCTCTACCAGGATGGAGAGTGGTAACGCGAGCAAGAGGCCACTTCGTTAGTGGAATTCTTTCGTCGGCGAGAAGGACGATAGGGCGGATGTTGATGTCGTGAGATGGGTGGTGCCACTCCGAGATGGACTGAAGATGCTGGAGATAGTTGGTGGACCACTGATTCCAAAAACTCTGAACATTCTGCTGGATGAGCTGCCAACGAAAAATGCGCGGCCATGGGTGGAACGGGCAACTGGGAGC